CTCTCTCTCTGTGCAAGGTGGGAGCACGGCGGCTGAACGAGCGACTGTTGCCGCGCAATTTCGAAAAAGGTGGCCACTGGCCACCATGCGAAAACGCAGTCCACAGCTACCCGCCAGAACAGAGTCCCTCCAGAAGCCAAAAACGGGGGAAAAAAACCACAAAAAAGGGGAGGGCCTGCTACCGGTACCTGCTCCCAGGCCAGGCCACATGTCTGTTCAGATAAGGGTGTGTCTGTACGTGCAGTCAGTGTGTCTGTTCGTGCAAAAGGAAAGTGTCTATTCACACAGTGTGAGTGTCTGTTCAGGCAGTAAGTGTGTCTGTTCGTCCAAAGTTGTGCCTGTTTGAAAGTAAGTCAATAAATAGAGTCCCAATTCTGGTCTAAGTCTAAGGGACAGTCCAGATCCAGACATCCAAGTCCAAAATCTAGGCCGAGAGGCCTCAGCAGCAGTTGACTTCATTGGGACAGTACTGGGACACATGCAATGCAGGGTCTGGGACAAAGGAAGGCCTGAATGAGCCAATGCAGACCCGGCGAGAAGAGGCCAGTATTATAAAGGCAGCAGCCAGCCTCATTTCACGCCAGATCTGCACTGGCATTCTGTGCGTGGAAGTGCTGAAGCACTTGTGCGCCAGTCAGGAGGAGCAGCGCTGGAGGATGAAGATGCGCTAGAGAGAGGAGACAGGCTGGGCGCTGGGAAGGGAAGCAGCCATAGCTGCCCAGCGGGTTAGTATTAGACTTAGAGGGTTAGTAGTAGTATTCTGTGAGTAGCATTCAGAGTAGATCCTTGAGAGAAGAGAGTGTGCATGCATAGTAGGAAGAAGGAACCGAGACAGAGAGTGTACAGGAGAAGTTCAGCTATGGTGAATACTTACCTGAGTGGGATATGATCTGCAGAGGTGGCGCTGTTGTGTAGAAGCCACATTGAAGAGTTGGATGAGAGATTTGCATTGCGTTGATGAGCGCCTGAACTCAGGGAACTGTGATACTCTTTGTAAATGACATTTTTGATAGTATAAGCTGTACAACTTGGTACTCTTCTCATCTATCCTTGTCTAATGTGTGAAGACTTCAGTTCATTGTGAGCCATGAGGATGAATGCTGTGAGCACTCTTGCGTGAGATGGTCCCCAGGACCCATGCAAAAGCAGCGGGAGACTACTAATAGTAGTTGAACTAACCAGTCCTGCTCTAGCTAGTTCTCTTATACACATCTAGATGTGTATAAGGAAGCGGGCTCAGTGTCCGTCACATGAACGCTGTGGTCACCCAGGGCTGAGAAAGGCACTCTTGGCCAGTCCCATCCCCAACCAACATCATCCACCCTCTGAGACCCAGGCTTCAGTCGCATCATAGGCCCTATGTTATGTATTCTAACAAATAACCTAAAGGCTAAAGGAAAGCAGAAAAGAAAAACAGGAAAGCGAAGTCATCTGTTTTCGAGGTATTGCCTAGACTATCTCAACACTATTGCAGTCAATTCACAGTCCATTGTATTATATAATGTAGAGATACCCTGCATCCTCCAGTCACTACTCCATTCTATCTACAATGCATCTCACATCCCACCTCATTCATCTATCAGTACATATTTACAGTTGATGTGGAGTTCTCATCTGTTGAGTTCCAACAGGTCCAAAACAATGTCTGAACTAGATCAAGGAAAAAATTCTGAAAAGACCAAAATGGGGAGAGTTCCCAACGTCAAGGTAACTACACACAACCCCTGGAAAGATCCCCATCTGGCCCTAAACCATTTGAGCGCTTTGTTGGTGCATCCTTTCTTCTGGACACGAAGTTCCCATTCCGCTGATATTGCCAATTTAAACCACCAGTACTTGGGCGACGCCTTAGCATTAACGCTACGAGAATTTCGCTACCGGCGGGCCGTCGATAAATCGTATCGACAGCCCGCGCCGCTTCAAAAAAGGTGCGGCCGGCGCGGCGCGCAGTGCCCAAGTACTGGTGGTTTAATGTTATATTTAACCTCCGCTCTGATCATAGGGGGAGTGAGTTGTTCCCCTCTGCGGACAACCGAGTTTCGCAGGTTCCAAAGCGTCATCAGGATAGCCCCACGAAGAGCGACTGAGCAAGGGTGGTCATCATCTTGAGGCAACCCCCAAAAGCACAAACTGGTCATCCCATCGATGTTGCACATCTGGAATCGGGACATTTGAGTTCCGCCACCAGTCCCAGAAGGGTCTTTTTTTTTCTTTAAGGAAAAAAAAAAAAAAGAAACGTCCTCCTCGGTGTTAGTGGTGCTGGTAAGAGCAGACATCACTAGCACCTGGGAGGAGGCTCCATCTATTGGTGGGGAGCTTCACCTGCTGGAAAGCGGGTCCAGCGTCCCTTTTTACAGACTGAGTTTGAATACATGATGCTCCTGCCAGCATTGATTGCCCTGGAACCCCAGGGGATTAACTGCGCAGGGAGGGGGAGAACATGGGTCTAGTAAGGTCGTATTGCAACAGGAAATGCTGAACATCTTCCATACGTGTTCCCGGGCATATGACACATAACGGACCGGCTTTCACAGTCCTTCGTGCACACCAAGTAGCCMCTGGCAGTGCCAGATGCATCAGCAACCATAAGAAGCTTGCGTGTTTACTGTTGGTCAGATCCATGAGATGCTTCCAGAAAAGTGGAAGCATTCTCGACAGTCTCGGCAGAGAGTCTTCAATCCATCCCGTCGCCATCCACCTCCGGGCCACTACCCAGTTCATGTCGACCCTTGGTCGCGCCATCTGATATCCCAATTTGGTAGTATAGTCGTATAGATAAACCAGTTTGTCTGGGCGACAAGGATGTTGCCATGCCCAATCTCTGGGATCCACTGGCAAGTTGAAGGATGAAGTCTGCAGGCAGAAGGGTCGGTAGCTGTGTTCTCGTTCGATAACGCGTACTGGCTGCAGCTGATCGGGAGAGGGCAAGGGGATTGTAATCTCTGCATACTGCAACGGTTCTCCCAATGCAACAGCCTCTCCCTGAACTTCCCAACATGAGTACGGAATATC